CCAGCACCACATGCCAGCCAGCCCCGCCCCCTGGTGGGCTGAGCTGGCCATACACACACACACACACACACACACACACACACACACACACACACGCAATAAATAAATATTTAAAAAATAAAAAATAAAAAAAAATAATAAAACGTAAGCCCATTGGCCTAATGTTTTCTTGTAAAGCCATCTCCAACAGAGCAGACTACAGTAAACATCCTCTTCTATGCCTTCTTTTTTCTTTCCAGTTTGACTAACTTTTAATACTTCCGTTTCTCCTTGGGCACAAATTTGAGCAGAGGAACTTCCCATTTTCCTGCCTTTTTTTTGTTTGTTTGTTTAATCATGTTGTAAATGACTTTTGCTTGAGTGTCCCTCTCTGTCCAGCAGCTGGGCAGGTACTGCTCCTTGTGGAGTCTTTTCATTGTTCTTCTGCTTGGTGTTTCTCTTTTTATGTATCCTTTTTTTGTTTTTGCGGAACTGGGGATTGAACTCAGACCCTGCGCTTGCCAGGGAAGCGCTTATTCCATTAAGCCATCTCCCCAACCCTTTTTATGTATCTTGATAGTCGTCTTCATTTGTATTTTCTCCACATGGCACTGTGATAGAGCTTAGCCTTCAGGCCAATCTTTTTTTCTTTTTGCCTTCTTTGAACATTCGTGAGCCTCTCGGCTTTCCTTCTTTCTCTTTTTCTCATGGTAATCTAAGTGGTACCCATAGCTTTTACAGTACAGTTCAATACATTCATTTTGTGGCATAACAACTGCAGAGCCTGTGAGGGCAGCCGCAGGTACGCAAAGAAAAGTCCTAACTTTGGAGTCTCCCCTATTTATTTTGATACAGGTCTCAAAGCTATGCAGCTCAGGGGGCTGGTGAGATGGCTCAGTGGTCTAAAGCACCTACTTAGAACAAGCTTAGCAGACACAGGGACCGCGGTTCAATCCCCCAGCACCACATGCCAGCCAGCCCCGCACCCTGGTGGGCTGAGCTGGCCACACACACACACACACACACACACACAAATAAATAAATATTTTAAAAAAAAAAAGCTATGCAGCTCAGGCTGGCCTCAAACTTACAATGATCCTCCTGCCTCAGCCTCCCAAGTGCTGGGATTACAGGCATGGGTTATCACTCCTGGCTTGAATTTTCTAGTATAGTGACAGTTGTTAAGTCTGGATTGTAAGTTTTTGGATTTTGAGACAAGCTTTCACTATATTGCCTAGGCTGGTCTCAAACTATGTAGTCCAAGCTGGCCCTTGAATTCCCAGTGATTTTCCTGCCTCAGCCTCCCAAATGGTTTGGTTATATATGTGTGCCATCATGCATGACTGCTCTGTGTGAGGCAGAGTCTCACTGCCCAGGATGTCCCTGAACTTGCAACCTGCCTGAGTCAGCCTTCTGGGTACTGGGATTATAAGTGTGCACCACTACAGCTGGCCATATTTGTTTTCCTACCCCTTGCCTTTTTTTCTTCCCAAAGCTAGGGACTGAGCCTAGAACCCTGTCAGCAAGCTACATCTCTAGTTCTTTTTTTAGTTATGATTTTGAGACAGAGTCTTCCTAAGTCAGAGTTCCCCAGGCTGGGCTCCCACTTGAAAGTCTCCCGCCTCAGCTTCCTAGTGTTGGGATTACACATGTGCACCACCATGTGGAACGGTTAAAATGTCGAGGTATTCCCTGTTCACAGCAGTGCTGCCCCTTGTCCTGAAGATACAGGCAGAAAACCCTGGCGTGCACAGTCTCCTATGGTGCAGCGCTTCCCCCTCTGCAGCGCAGGTGCTGGGCAGCTCCTGGAGGCTGCACACACTCTAGCCCCGGAAACAGCCGGGACACTGCCACTTTGTATTGCTTATCCCAGTCAGCAGCCTGAAAGCTGCCCTGAGAGTCCCCAGCACTCGACCTCAGGAGTCGGCGCCTCCCTGAGTCGGGGATGGAAGCTTCCTTTTGTACTCTCACCTTCTTCTGTGCAATTGTGGGTGTGTTAATCAAGAGTTTACTGAACTGTTTTATTGTATTTGCCAGCTTTTGTCATTCACAAATCTGGACCTTGAAATCAGGTAGCTGCAACCGCAGTCTTGTTAAGGATACACATGCCTGGCTGTATTTTTGAATACTGGGAATCAAACTCAGGACCTTGTGTTTGCCAAGCAGGCGCTTAAGCCACTGAGCTATCTCCTCAGCCATGTTTTTGGATTTCACTATGTAGTTCAGGCTGGCTTTAAATTCACTACATAGTCCAGGCTGCCCTGAACCTGTGGCCATCCTCCTGCCTCCACCTCCTCAGTGCTGAGACTACAGGTATATACCACTATGCCAAGCTCCCCAGCTTTATTTGTAATAACTTCTGCTACTATACATGTAATACTATGCAGCTTGTAGTTTCAAAATAACTGATTTCTTTCCTTTTCTAATACTAGGAACTAAAACCAGAGTGCCCAGCTACATCCCCTGCCTCTCCCCCTCTGGCAGTGCTGAGCTTCACACTGAGCTACAGCCCAGGCCTTTTTGGGCACTTTTACATAGGGCCTCACAAAGCCACCTCTACTGGCCTCATATTCGTGATTCTCATGCCTCAGCTTCCCCAAGAGCTAGGATTGTAGCAGCGCTCCACCACGGCTGCTTGGACAGTTATTTTTATCAGGATTTCTTTAACCCCCTTTTTCTTTTTTGGGCAAGGTATGGCCTCGAACTCGCAGCAATCCTGCTGCCTCAGCCTCCCAGTGCTGGTATATCAGGCACGCACCACCATGCCCAGCTCATACACATTTTCAATTCCACATCTCAGAGACATGAACTTAGCACTTCTGCATTCTAATCAGCAAAACCAGAATTAAGTTTATTTTAAAATATATTTAACAAATATCCCATAGTTTTACATATGTTACACGTGTAGAATATTTACAAATTCTCTTCCACAGCCTTTACTTAATGACGATTATTCTTCCATTATTTGCTTTTCAGCCTGTTTTCTTCAGTAGTGAAATACTGTCCAGTGTCCTCTGTAACTAAAAAACGAGCTTCTTGGGCAATCCTCCTAGAAAGTAAGACCAAAGACAGGCTTGCTCACAGAAGCGCAGAGCGATGCAGCAGCCACTGCAGCCCAACTCCGCTAATCTCTGTGCTGTGCTCGCTGGCTCTCCACATGCACGGCCCACAGGGCCACAGGGTTTGTGAGGGGTGAGGGCACACACCGAGGGCGCCCACAGCCTGAGAAGTGTTCTCAATGCAAGCAAATACTAGCACCTTCTATCCACTTCATGCAATTTAAATTTATAGAAAGTAAAGGGCTCCCGAACTGTACTTCTTAGCTGCCCGTCAGTCATGAACTATGTATGAACTATTTTTTTTTAATATTTATTTATTTGTGTATGTGTGTGTGTGTGTGTGTGTGTGTGGCCAGCTCAGCCCACCAGGGGGCGGGGCTGGCTGGCATGTGGTGCTGGGGGATTGAACTGCGGTCCCTTCTGCTTTGCTAAGCTTGTTCTAAGTAGGTGCTCCAGACCACTGAGCCATCTCACCAGCCCTGTATGAACTATTTGTTTTTGTAAATTTTATTTATTTATTGGGGGGGCAGTTCAGTCCACCAGGGGACGGGGCTGGCTGGCATGTGGTGCTGGGGATTGAACTGCAGTCCCTGTGCTTTGCTAAGCTTGTTCTAAGTAGGTGCTTTAGTCCACTGAGCCATCTCACCAGCCCCTGTATGAACTATTTGGAGCCTTCTAAAATCATCTCTAAAAACGGGCACTTTTACCTTGTTCCAAGGCCTCTGTTCTTTTCCGTTTTGTCGCCATGGCTGGGTTAGACTGCTCCTTTAAGGCTTCCGCTGGACAGTTCGGTCTAGGCAGCTGACACCCAGGTGCTGGCCCTGGCCGATTACTGAAGTAGGGAGTTTTTAGTGCCTTTTTCAAGAAAAGATGTCAAAGTAAGGTTTTCTGTGAGCATCTTGGACTGTGTAGGAAAACCTAGCCTCAAAAACTGCTCAGAACACTCACAATAAAAGAGAAATTGCTGTCTAATACTTGGGCGTGCAAATTACTAGAAAGAAACATCCTGACTGGAAACCTCACTCCCGTAAAAAGGGAGACCCCCTCCCTCGCCCTCCCCCGCTCAGCAGGTGTTCTCCGGAAGCGCTAGCCTCAGTGAGATGTGCACACTCTGGCTCTCTACACAGTACAAGCTCTATGGCTCAAACTGCAAACAGAAACTGGCTTCAAATGAACTTGTAAGTCTGCTGCAATGTCTAAATATATTCAAAGGATAGATTATGGAAGGACAAATTCCTAAAAATAATTCTTTTGATAAGTGATAGGTTGGTACCAAAGGATTATGATCCAATAATCTCTTATGAATGGAAAGAAATTTTATTCAGAAAGGGTGGCCGAGGTTATTTCTATTGTTTACCAGTCCAATGTTCTATACTTTTTTAACTTGGGTCCAAAATCCGAATAAAAATGCCTTTATCTTAAATGACGAGTTTGTCAACATCATACCTCTCACCTGTCTATGCATGCAGTGCAGGGTGCCTTACAGAAGGATTTCCTTTAGGACAATCCTTAGAAAAAGAAGTCTATACGCTTTTTTTTTCCTCCTGTAATCCCACTATGACCCAAATCCAGGGTTTTCACACTGAGTTATGTCCCTAGCCCATTTTTAAAATTCTGAGACAGGGACTTGCTCAACTGCTGGACTCAAAGTTGGGATTCTCCTGCCTCAGCCTCCCAGTGTGTGGAGATTACAGGCATGAACCACCATGCCCGGTCCACATAAGCTCTTCACGTGCAGTGGCGCTTTAGAACTTCCTTAAAGACTTGCATTTATTTTTTTGTCTCAGCAATAGGTAAGATATATATAAGTTAAGCTACAGATAAATTAATCTCATTCTGGCTACCCAGAGCTCTAAGAAAGGAAAAGTATCTCATTTCAACTTCAACACAGGTCCACAAGAGAAAAATTATTTTTATGTGTGGTAACAGGAATCAGACTCAGGACCGTGCGTTCACCGGGCAGGCACTGCGCCGCTGAGCCATCTCCCCGGCCCCTGAGAAAAACCATTAAAAAAAAAATTCTGTTAGAGCCAGGCCTGGTGGTGCATGCCTATAATACCAGTACCTGAGAGGCTGAGGCAGAAGGACTGTTGTGAGTTTGAGATCAGCCCGGGCTACAAAGCAAGCTCAAGGCCAGCCTGAGCTGCATAGTGAGACCCTGTTTAAAAAAAAAAAATCTGCCAGGCCATAGGTGTAGCTCAGTGAGCGTGTGCACTGGCTATGTGCAGCTCACACCCAGGCAGAGAACAAGAATTCTATCAAAATAAAGCCCCACGTAACAAAGACACACCCACGATGCGTTACTACAACTAAGTTACACTAGTAATGAAAACAATTTTCTAGATGATTTTATGTCGTTTCTCCTCTCATGATATAAATAACATATATGGGTGAAAAGGTAACTAAGTTCATAGGACTTGTTTGAAATTAGAAAATTCTAACCATAAAATATCTAATATGTGCTCTTTAATATACTATTGTTGGGAAGGGAAAGCTTATTTATAGTTAAACAGGTTAAACAGTAATTTAGTAGACAGCAAGAAAATCCAAGAACAAGAACTTCCAGGCATGGTGGTACACACCTCAAATCCCAGCACTCTGGGGGCTGAGACAGGAGCATCCCCATGAGTTTGAGGCCAGCCTGAACTACACAGCCAGACTCTGTCTGAAATTAATAATAGTAGTAATAATAACACTTTGGTAGTAACAAACCTCAGGTGGGGTGCTCTACTTTGCACCTTATTATGCACTGAGATACTTTGTTAAATACAAAGACCAGTGACTTTATCTTTCTTTCAAACTGGTACTAGGGAACACACTCAGGGGGCTCTACCACTGACCTATATCCTCAGCCCTCTTTAAAATTTTGAGACAGAGGGGCCGGGGAGATGGCTCAGTGGAATAAGTGCTTCCCCGGCAAGCACAAGGGCCTGAGTTCTAATCCTCAGTTCTGCAAAAAAAAAAAAAAAAAAAAAAATTGCGACAGGGCTGAAGTTGCCCAGAGTGGCCTCGAGCTAGTACTTCTCCTACCTCAGCCTCCCAGGCAGCTGAGACTACAGCACGGTACTCTGCACAGAGCACCGTGTTCGCACTCGTCTCTTCCTTCAGGAGGCGCAGTCACAGCACTCTGTCCCACGACACGTTTATGACCCCATCATTTCTGGTGTGCCTGTTTCTAAGTAAGCCCCCACACGTGTCCATCAGCGCCTGCTGGCCGCACGGCTTAAGCGGCTTCATTTTGGGAGATTTGTACATATACTTACTTTTTTTTTTTTTTTTTGGCAGAACCGGGGATTGAACGCAGACCCTTGAGCTTGCCAGGAAGTGCTTATTCTATTGAGCCATCTTCCCAGCCCCTGTACATACCCTTGACACCCTTTAATCACCCCCTCTTGCCCACCTCACCCTATTTTCACGCCTAACTTCATATTTTGGGGTGCATCAATATGTACAAGGCATTTTGATCATTTTCCTGCCCATGCTACCCTAACCATAATGTCCCTCCTCCCATCTCCCTCCCCTAATCAATTCCCCTCCACTTTCCTGTCAGCTTTTTCAAATCCTACATACTAGGAAGACTACATAAAAAACTTGGAGAGGGGTGGGTGTTGGGGATTCAACCAGGACCCTCTGCATGCTAGGCAAGCGCTCTACTAATGACTACATGCCCAGCCTAATTACAGATTTGATAAAAGCATCTGCACTGTTTTAAGGACTGGGGATAGGGTGGGCTACACTCCTAGTAGCATCAGCAGGGCTTTGGGTCTCATCCCCAGCAGTACAAATGTAAATGAAAACAAACAAAAAACCACAGGGCCTGGGGAGTAGCTCAGTAGAATAAGCACTTACTGGCAAGAGCAGTGTCCTGAGTTCAAGCCCTGGTACCACCTGGTATAATTTTTTTGGTATCAGGAACTGAACTCAGGACCTTCTGTTTGCTAGGCAGATACTGTCTGCTGAACTATATCCCTGGCCCCATATTATTCTAAAAAAAAAAAAAAAAAAAAACTTTTTGGGGCTGGCCAGATAGCTCAGCAGATTAAGCACAGGGTCCAGGTTCCATCCTGGCATGCCAGGCCAGCCCCACCCCCAGGGCACAGACATAACTGAAACTGGGTGTGGTGGTGCACACCTATAATCACAGAGTTTGGGAGACTGAAAACAGGATCACTACAAGTCCAAGCTGTGTAGTGAGACTCTACAGACCCTGTACTAAATACATTTAAAATAACAACAACAACAACAACAACAACAACAACACTTTTTGGTATTTAGTGAATGTTAGACAATTTTATAAAATCCAAATTTTTACAAAATTCAAATTTTTACTTTATTAATGGAACTGTTAAATTTTTTTTTTTTTTAATATCTCCTAGTAAAAGATAAGTTGTTAAATACCTGTGTGGCTGTAATCCGAGTACAGGGATTAAATAAGAATAAGCCTTGTATGAGATCTAGCAAGTCATCTCCTGCCGCACTGAAGATGTGTTGCAACGGGATTCCAGGGAAACTCTTGAAGGTCACATAATCTGGTAGACTACACATGTCCTATAAAAATATTTTTATAATTCAAATTTGAATAAAGGAGTGAAAGGCTTATCAGTGAAATAAAGTAAAATACTTGCAAACTAATGAATAAGGCAAGGCACAGCATAAATATAAAGAAACTACATGTATATGGTATACTGTATATGTACTGTATACTGTGAATATGTAGACACTGAAATTTAAAACATAGATACCATTTATAATTATGTAAAAATATGTATAGTCTCATGTACTGAAAGCTGCACAATGCTGATGAAATGAAGGAAAAGCTACTTTAAAACTATGCTACTGGTGCAGGGAAAGACGTATGTGCCAACGCAACGCAATACATAACCGGGACACCTGCACATTATCTGCTCAAGGGGTTTCTGAAAAAGGTACCGAGTCTTTCTGACCAATGACGCCGGAGCATACAGACACCAGTCAAAATGAGGACGCTGGACCAAACTTCACAGATCATGTAAGACAAACTGAAAATGGACCAAGGAACTAAATATCACATGTAAAACTATGTTGCTTCAAGAAAAAATACAGAAACTAGTCAGAAATTGACATTTCACCTGGACAAAAGTTATCACTAATGGATGATTAAAGGAAAATTTGATAAAATAAACTTGATCAAAATTAAAGACTTAAGGGGCCGGGTAGATGGCTCAGTAGAATAAGAGCTTCCCTGGCAAGAATAAGGACCTGAGTTCAATCCCCAGTCCCACAAAAATAAATAAATAGACTTAATATTATGTACAGGTACAAATTCCATATGATGCATGTTATCACTATGCTTATCTAAAATGTACCAATAGACCATTGTAAGCCGATCTTGGAACTTCTTATACATTTGTACTTCTTGAAAACAAAAATGTACCAATAAAGTTGATTTAAAAAATTTAGGGGCTGGTGAGATTGCTCAGTGGTCTAAAGCACCTACTTGGAACAAGCTTAGCAAAGCACAAGGACCGTGGTTCAATCCCCCAGCACCACATGCCAGCCAATTCTGCCCCCTGGTGGGCTGAGCTGGCCACACACACACAAACATAATAAATAAATAAATGTAAAAAAAAAGTAAAAAAAAAAAAAATTAAAGACTCATTGGGGAGGACTCTAAAGATAATGGGAAAAAAGAACAGCATAAGAAAAAAAAAAGTATCTGTAGAACTGTCAAAAAGGACTATTATCTAAAATAATTAGAAAATTGGGGGACAAAAGGAAAATGGGTCAAGGGACATGTCCCTAGAGATCCACTGACATGCTGAGTAGCATGGTGCTCACCTATAATCCCACTTACTTGGGAGGCCTAGGCAGGAGGACTCCCAAGTTTCAGCTCAGCCTATAGAAGTTACTGAAATTCTGTCTTGAAATAAAATTTTAAAAAGGACTGGGAACGTGGGTCAGTGAAAAACTGATTGTCTAGCATGCACATGATCCTGTATTTAATCTCCAGGCCCTCAAGGCAAAAAAATATAGTACATGGAAAATACATACATTGTGGAGGACCACCTGAGCAGCTCTCCTTGAAAGAAGAGCCACTGCCTCTATTTTGACTGAGCCTCACCCTATTTCCTTGTATTGTTATGTACAGAGCTGGCTAGGACTTCTGTTTATCCTTCAGTTGGCCTTAAGCAATGTATATTGGTCTAGCTGAGGTGCTGGTGATAGTCTTTGAAGGTGGCGTGCATGTTTCTCTGGTAACCTACACCTGCTGCTCTTTAATGTGAGCTGGGTCGAGACGGTAGAGCTAATGCTCCGCAGCGCCAGCTGGGATCCAGCCTGGAGACAGAGGCTATGACTTCCTGGGACTTGAAAGCCTACACCAAAGCTGAAGCACCAGACTTAGCAAAACGTTAGATACTATATAATGCAGATTACTCTCTCTGCATATCCTCTCTGCATATCGCAGAGGTAAATGTAGGCCACACACCTAGCTCAGCTCATAGTAGTCTCTTTCCCACAGTTCTCAGTCAATCCTCAAGCTACTCCCCCACTGAATAAAACTGGGTGAGGCCCTGGGTCGCTCTCTGGGTTCCAGAAAGCCATCTCCATGGCTGGACTTAGAGCCCCTTGACTCCCCGATGATTGAAGATATAATTTAGTGTCTCTATTTTCGCCATGGGTTGCATTGTAAGTGGCAGATTGGAATCAATTTGATGGGATTCCAATAACTTAACTTTGGGATTACAAATAGGGGCTTCTTGGATGAGACAAGGACCTGGAAGTGTCTCCTACAATACATGAAAATATATTTCATATTAATGGTAGGGCAGTAAATACTGAAACCACCATGAGTTATCACTATAGCAACCTCTGCAGAATGCTGTCAGAAAAAGCCAACAGCAAAAGGAGATTTTTACAAAAAGGAAGTTATAAAAATGGAAAATAGGGGCTGGGGAGATGGCTCAATAGAATAAGCGCTTCCCTGGCAAGAGCAAGGGCCTGAGTTCAATCCGCGGTTCCGCAAAAAAAAAAAAAAAAAAAAAGAAAAGGAAAACATTAGTGACAGGGGTTAAAGGAGGAAGAAGGAGGTAAGTACGGATGTCCATGAAGAGGTAATCTGAGGGAGGTTATGGTACCTTCTTTTTCAGCATCGCAGACTGAACACAGAACCCTGCAATGAACTACCTCCCAGACCTTTTCGTTTAGATAGGGTCTCACAGTTGCTGAGGAGGCTCAGTATCCTAATAGTAACGTGCTAGTGTGATACTATTCTAGTTTTTGCAGCTTGGGAAAACTGGGTAAAGGACACATGGTATATCTCTGTATTATTTCTAACAACTACATGTAAATCTGTAATAATCTCAAAATAATAAGTTTAACTTTATAAAATGAAGGGAAATATCAATACGCAACTACTATTTATAAATTGTATTTAAGGGGAAAAGAACACATTATGAAGCTGACCTCTGCAGTCACATTCGGCCCTAGCTTTGACACTCACTGCAGACGTGGGTACATTACTTAATCTCATTAAGCTTCAGCTATTTCATTTATAGTGCTCTGCAAGGATTAAACATAACTTATGAAAAGCTCACCATAAATAGTATAGAATAAGTGCCCAACAGGATGGTATATTGGGGCATATTTTATAATTAGAACCTATATTAGACTTTCAGTTAGGAAGTAAGGAAGTAGTACACAAGAACTTGCTTAGATATTTTCAGTATGGATAATTTCATTAGTTTTAACCAGAAGATAAGGAATCTAAAATTTTCTCACTTGTGTCATTTCTTTATTACTTAGCACATGGAACTACAATCAGATATTTTTTTTTGAGTTTTCTTTGGCCCATACTTGGAATTGAATCCATGGCGTTTGCACTGAACTACATCCTAAGTCCTTTAAATTTTTTTTTTTTAAATTTTGAGACAGGGCTGCACTAAGTGGTTAAGTTCCTAGGCTGGGCTCAAATTTGTGACTTGCTTGCTCCAGCTTCCCAGAGTAGTGGGGTTGCAGGCATGGACCACCACACCTAGCTACAAGTTGCTTAATTTTATTTTAGGAATAAGTTAGGGTGCATTACTGAACGGTAACGTAAAAGCTGGATACGGTGGTATATGCTTGTAACTAATACTTGGGAAGGTAAAACAGGAGAATCCAGAGAGAAGGGGCTAGCTTAGGCTACACAGTAAAGTCAACACAGCAAGTCTATGAACTACAGTGTAAGACTGCCTCATAAAGTCAAAATTAATTAATGTAGTAATTAATTTATTTATTGTGTACCAAGGACCCTGTGCTTGCCAGGAAAGCGCTTATTCTCCTAGAAAAGCTATCTTCCCAGGCCCAAGTCAAAATTTAAAACCTGAATTGCTAACACTTTTATCAGTTTGGATACAACTTGTTTTCCTGAGGTAGTTCCACTTTGTTGCCCAGGAGGGCTTTGAACCCACGTTCAAGCAATTCCCTTGGCACAGCCTTCACTGTGCTACAGCTGGGATAAAAGCTCACACTACTGGGGTTGGGGGGATGGCTCAGTGGAATAAATGCTTCCCTGGAAAGCACAAGGGCCTGAGTCCAATCCCCAGTTCTGCACCCCGCCAAAAAAAAATCTGTTGCTAAAAACTCACACTACTGTGTCCAGGTTCTCTCCCTTTCAGAGACAATATCACAGAAAAAAATAATCATACTACTGAAACATCAATTGTGGGGCTGGTGAGATGGCTCAGTGGTCTAAAGCACCTACTTAGAACAAGCTTAGCAAAGCACAGGGACCGCAGTTCAATCCCCCAGCACCACATGC